GCCCCACCCCTGCAACCTGCAGCCTCCTCTGCCTCAGATCCCCTGCTATTAAAGGCATTTTATTTCCATTCTATGGCTGCACAAAACTCTCCTCTCCTCCCCCGGAGGCTTGTGGGCCCTGCAGTGAGGGCTCTGGGTGTGCGAAGGGGCTCCGGAGTGCAGCTCCTCCCTGGGCTGCCTACACAAGTGGAACAGGCCCACTGCGAGTATGGTGGCCTCCCTTTAGTGACTCGCAGCGTCCCAAGGCCAGCAGAAAACCCATCCTATGGCGATTCCCACCCTCCCCACCTGGGCCGGTGGCCGTGAGCGCAGGTGCTCCTGGGCTGGCTGAAGCCAGGCTGAGAGGGAGAAGTAGGAGGGGCAGGGTCCTGGCATGGAAATCCCAGGATACAGCCGGAAGGAAAGATAGTAAGTAACAGGGGCAAGTAGGATATTTCAAAAGACCCATGTCCCAGCCACGGCCTGGGGGCGGTCGGGGGAGAGGTTCTGCACCGACGGCTGTCCACACAGAGGAACCGAGGGGTGGCCATGCCGTGAAGGTGAGCTGTCGGCTACAGCTGGGGAGATCTGCTGTGGTGGGAAGACCACAGAAAAGGAACAAGAACAAGCCCTAACTCTCCCCTCCAGGGTCATGACCTGGCTCTCTCCTCACTGGGACTAAGAAGGAAGTCCCCTAGTTTGTTCCCCCACCAGCCACTCGCCCCTCCACCCCGCCTGTCCTAGCAGAGGCACACACAGCACACGGTCAGGTTGCTGGCCCCCGTGGACTTCCTGCCAGTCACACACCTACATTTTCTCCCATGATCTACTCCCAGGGAGGGGCCTGCTCTGGGACAGGTCTTGGCTGGCTGCAGAGTCCAGAACTGACCTTGGCTCAAACACTGGCCTGTAAACTAGGAGCTGTCGTGGAATCTGGTGAAGATCTGGGTAGGGAAACACTGAGATGAGGCAGATGGACGCCAGGGCAAAGCAATGAATAAAAGGGCTCTTGGGTGCCCAAGGTGTGCCCACCTCCAGCACAGTGGCTCCTCCTACACTGTGGCTCCACCGTTTACAGTGCAGATAAAGCCCTAGAAACTACAGACCCCTCTGACGCAGGCTCAGAGCACAACTCGCCATGCTTTGGGGTCCACTCCTATGGTTTTCCTCTCGTACCCTGCCCATGGCGGGAGCAGGTGAGCCTCCTTCCCCTGCAGGCACAGCTACTTCCCAAGGGCAGGAGCAGACAGCCTTGCCCAGGTTCAGGTTTTGGGTCCACTGTTGCAAAGAAGACATATCTGTACCAACAATTACCGAAATCTAAGGGAATCATGTCTAACCACCTGACTGGGACACAGGAAGCCCCACCCATCTTCCAGCTCCACATCTCACTCTGCCTCACTCCCATGCACGCACTTTCCCTTTTACTCTCCTGCAGCCCAGCCCAGCCTCTGACACCACACCCACTGGCAGGGTCGGGTTGGGAGGCCCTCCTTGTGTGCCCCCTCCAGCACAGAACTTCTGCCTATTTTACCTGCCTGTGTCTGCTGCTAGACGTGAGCTCTGTAAGGCCAAGGGCCTTCGGGGCTGTGGTCCTAGCACCTAGCCACTGCTTGGATCAATCAATATTTGAAAAGTGAAATACCTGTGGAAAATGCCAGCTCCAAAAAGAGATTTCACTGATAAAAACCCCAGTAAGGGACAGATTTCTAACCTCTGGCATTTCCGCATATTTACACACGTCGATCCTGACACCCACCTACCCCGTGAGAGAGGACTCAGCCCTGAGTCTGCAGAGATGAAGGTGGACGGGCCTCTCTGTTATGCACCTTTGTTGCCATGGCGCTGACCCTGTGGCCCCTGGCACTGTCCCAAGCTGACACAACCTGCTTGTCAGGCTCTCGCACTCTGTACCTCAGTTCCCCAAGTCAAAGCAAGAAGTTGAAGGGCAAGAAGTCCAGAGCCCGCCCCCACCCCTGCATCTGGCCTGCAAGGGCACACAGGGTGCCTGGGCCTCCTCACCGATGAGGGCTTCTTTCAAGCTGGACTCCACAGGCAGGATGTTCTTCTCCACCAGCTCCATGGGGCCAGGCCTCTGCGCAATCTTCTCGTTGAGGTCATCAGCCAGCCTGGCTCTCTTCAGCTTCAGCTGCTTGGCCTGAAGGGAAGGCTCAGCCGAGGTCTCTGCCCGTGGGAGAGAATGGAGTGCAGGAGGATGTAGAAATGGATCTGGGTTTGCCCTGGCAACTCCAGAGGAGTCTCCTTCCCTCTAGGGAAGGAGCAGAGACCATCAGAATGCAAAGCGCATCCCAGGTGGAAAAGGGTGGCCCAGCTTCACGAGGACAGAAGGAGCCCCTACTGTGGACAGTGTGTGGCCACACACAACAATGGCCACCAGGCCAGAGGACTCCCTGAGGTGGAGCTACAGAGCTGAAAAGAGCACCAGACAGCAAAGTGACTTTCTCAAGCTTGCTGTGTTACAGGGCAATTCACCTCCCTGCTCTGGGCCTCAGAGTCTTCATCAGCAAAATGTGGGGTTCACCCTAGGAAAGTTCTCTCCCAACCCCAAAGGTAGCTCAAAACTAAAAAAAATGGATAGATTCACACTGCTTTCAGCAGCCACTGCCTTCACCAGAATGTGGGAAGAAGCGTGTGCTGGAGCCAGGTGGAGTGTGTCTGGGATGACCTTACTTGTACATCACAAGTGCTCAAGTAAATGCTGAGTGAATGAATCAATCAATGAATGAAAAAGAGAAAGCAAACGCATTTTAAAAACAGATCTTAGAGGGAAAAAATTTGTATCAAGAGATGACCAGCCCCAGGGCCATCTTGTGGCCACAGGAGAAAGGATGAGCCAGCCCAGCAGAACGTGTCGGGCTTCCAGGGGAATTCCCGGCAACCACAGCACTGCTGTCTCAGCGTGCTGAGGCTCGGGCTTACCCACTGCCTACAGAAATGTGAGTGACAAGAAAGGGAAGAAGAAATGTGGGTGCTGAGACGGTGAACACACAGTGAGAACAGGGTTTAGAAGCATTGCCATTTTAACACACCTTCCAAAATGTGCATCCTGACCAACTCTGACCTCTCCGGCCGGGAACGAATCTTCCGTTTCAGGTAGTCCTCTGTCTATAGGGGAAAAAAACACCATCAAAAAGCTCTCAAATCCAGATCACAAGATTATGGCATGGACAGGGCCAAAAAGCAGCGGTGGCTGTTGGTCACCTCTGCAGCCCCCACCATCTCAGTTTGGAGACTACAGGGTGCTGAGGCCCAGGGCAGCCAGGGGAGGACGTATCTACTTCCAAGTGCACTAGCCAAGGGCACCATCCGTCAAGAATATTTGTCGGTCTGAGGTTGGACTACTGATATATATTTTTAAAACTCTATTACTTTTACTGTTATAAAATTAGTATTGTTTCATCAAAGAAAATGGAAAATTACCAAGCAAAATGACAATAAAACATTTTAATCATCTATTGTTAGTATTTTGGGATATTTATTTCTAACATTCGTCCATATGGAAGACAAGTTTGATTTTGCAGAGCTGTAATAATACTGAATATAATTTTATATCTTGTTTCAAAAAATTTCCATGATCTTATAAGCATTTCCCACTCATTTTGAATGACTACTAAATAGAATACTAATTTTGATACATGGTGTCAAAACTCTAGTTCCTTAAAGTCCAATGTAATCATTTCCGCATTTCTGAGACTCCAGGCAAACTAAGCCATTTCTTCAACAGTCCCAAGCTGCCCCACTGCCTGCGCTCATGTTATAATGTGACCCCAGATCTGTCTGACTCCAGAACTTGGGCTCTTAACCTCTGCACCAGAAATTTTCAAACCATAGGTCAAGACCATTAGTGGTTCAAGATCAGCAGAGAATGGGATAGGATAAGGTACAGTAGGGTAGAGCAGAGGAGAGTAAAAACAGAAAAAGTATCAGAGCACACTGCACGTAGGAAAGTGTGTAAAGGCCTGGTTCTGTCCTGCCTGGCCCCTATCAGGTGCCTGGGCTCTGACTGGGCAACCTGTGCCAGCCTGGGTTGGTGCTGAGCTCTCCATGAGATGGTTTAAAGCGGCTGTGGGCGCTGGATCTATCACCCCATCTGCAGTGGGCAGAAAAACTGCTCCGGCTGCTGTAGAAGATGCTAGAACAGGTGTCGGACACTGCAGGTCTTCACAGCCATCAGAGCAGACATATTTTCTAAGCCACCTGAAGTTCTGAGCAGTGACCAAGGCCAAGGCAGAATACAGTGCTGCTTAAGAAAATTCCTGGAGTCCACAGAGCAAGGTTTGAGTCCCAGCTTTGCCACTTGCTAGCTGGAAAAATTACTTAACCTCTCTCAGCTGCAACTATAAAATGAAAAGATAATAACACCTAATTCATAAGAGCTGATGTGAGCATAAATAAGAAAATGATATAATTTTACATGAAAAGTACTCAATAAAATAACAGCTGCTCTAATTGGCTCATATTTACTCCCTCCCTGCCTGCTTGAGATACAGTCAGGAAGTGGTGCCAAGACTTACAAATGGGTTGGGGGCACAGGCAATGCCCTTCCTGCCCTCCCCCCTCGCCTACCCCCATATTCTCTAACTCTCCCAGCACTACAACAGTGCAGCTTGTTACTGCTTTGGTTCCCAGTACCCATGACCTCATTCTTCTCATTCTCTCTAAGAATTAATCATGATTCTCCTTAGAACATTAAAAAAAATAATTTAAAAAGAGGAGGTAGTAAGGAAAGTCTTGGAGGTAAACATTTTCGTCCCTGAAAGAGCTGTGGGTCTTGGGGTACTGCAGTCTGTGACCCTCCCTTTGGGAGGTTCTCTTCCCTTGTCTTTTACGTGAAAGACCAAAGCGAAGGGGGTGCGAGGGGAAGCGTGTTCTGGCGACTTCCCCATCTCCGCCCACACTGGGCACAGAATATCCCCCTGAGGCCTCTGAGGGAACTGAAAGCAAGGGGAATAGGCAGCAAGCCAGGTGCAACAGCACGAACCTGGGCTCAGAGGGGGCCTAGCTTCTGCCTACACAGCCTCTAGTGGACACTGGCTGCTGAGGGCACATGAAGACCAGTGCATGCCCATCCTGGAGAGGTGTGGGCAGTGCAGCCACTGACATGGAGGGACCACCGATGCTGTTCATGTCCTAACATCCACAAAAGGTTAGGGTGGAGTTATACATGGGAAAGACTAGTGTCTCCAAAGCAACAGGACAAAGGCTCGGTGAGCACTACATACTCTTAAAGGCAATAAAGGAGAAAACTCCTTCTAATCACGTTCTGCATCATCGCGCCGGGAGATGGCCGTGTGGAGATGAAGCAGAAAAGGTAGAGTTTGCTAATTAGAACTGTGAGGCATGGGCTGGCCCTGGAGGCACGCTAGACTGGGAGGAACATGACCGGCAATGCAAGGGGCTCTGGGAATCTCTTCGGAGGCCCTAGCGAAGAATGCGTGCCTTACCCTGGCCCGCTCCAAGCTCCTTCTCTGTTCATGAAACGCAGCTGGACTTTTCAAAGCTGTTGGGAGAGGAATCAGAAAAGAATTACTTTATTAGTGAAGCATCATGTCTACTGCTACAATTTACCATGGAGAAGGCATCTTGAAGTCAAGTTAATTTTAGTAGTACTATTAATATCAGCTGAAACGACGAAGAAAATGGCACCCGAGTAAGCGTACACCTTTATGGTTCAGCTGCCCCATTAAAATAATTTTGGTTACTTTTTTCCTAATAGGAGTAGTCACTGGCCTAAGTTTAAGCTCTATAAAGTGCATTCATAGAATATAACTAAAAAATATCCTGGACCCATTGATCGGTCAACCTCCACCAACAGCGACTGGGCCTCACCTTACTCTTGGGGAGACGGGGACTTGGGAAGGATCAGAGCTGCATGTCGGGTCCACCTGACTTCTATCTCATGAGGAACCACAGAGTGACCAAACTGAATGGGGCTGTTAAACAAAATGACATGTCTACTTGGGTGCCATTTCCTTCTTCATTTCAGCTGATATTAATAGTGCTGCTAAAATTAAACTTGAATTTCATCTCTAAGGACTAAAGGAACTTCACAGTGGTTGTAGGTTTGACCCTGGTGCACACACACAACCAGCAGCTGACAAGAAGGGCTCTCTGCAGCCCCTGTCAAGGACTCCGCTCTATTCTGGGGCCGCCACCACCACCACCACCGGGGCCACAGCTCTCGACTCAGCAAACAACACTGAGGGTGGGGAGACCCAAATAGGACCCTCTACAAATTCGGCACCATGAAGAGAATTCTGTGTCAAAAACTTGGCTATAGTGACAAATGACGAGTTGGGACACCCTGAGGACAAGAGGGGGAAAGGCCCGACTCACTTCAAGTAGGGAACACTAGCAGTAAGGGAAAATGCACAGACAGCGGTCAGTTTCACTGCTGCTGCCCTGGAATTTCAGAACAGCTGCAGAACCCTGTGTGGAGATAACTGCTGCTAGGCTGCTGGCTGTGGTAGGAGTGCAGGGTAGGGAGACGCTAAAAGTAGCCAGAGCATAGATATGACCTATCCTGCCTGGGCCTTGGCATTTCCTCCCTCCATCCCAACCCTGGGCCTCAGCCACAGCAGTTCCAGAACAAAGCTCCAAATGTCCCAGTAGTACTTGTTAAATAATAATAATAATCAAATCTTAGTGTTAAACACACACACACACACACACACACACACACACACACACACACGCGCACATCTATTTCAAAAGACGAGTTGGGAAACCATCCCATTTTTTAACAGCAGGGGGAGCTATAGATTTAACAAATGATCTGGAAGGAAAATACAGCACAGACTGGAGCCCCAACAAACCAGGCAACCCAGCTCTGCTCTGGGAGTTCTTGGGCATCTTAGTGGGTAAGCAGACAGCCGCTGTGCCTGCTTCTACTGCATCAGGCTGACTCAACTGCAAAATCCAAAAGCCCTGATATGCAGGAATCTGTACTAGGCACGATGGGCCCGCAGGGAACTCACGCAGCCTTACTCTCCTCGGAGAGCTCACATGGATGAGACAATAAGCACAAGGAATCTAAGAGAAAACTCGGTGTCTGCCCCACCCCACCCCACCCCAGCTTTCTTTCTGCCTTGTTTGTCCCCACAGCACTCCTCAGGGCTGGCCCTCTCTACGGTAATACTACCTTTCTCTTACTTGTCTATGGTCAGCCTCCTACCACAAAAGCTTCATCGGGGCATGGCAGGGGTTTTGTCCATGTCTTTTATTTCTGACAGTATCCTCAGTGCCTAGAGTACCCAGCACACACTCATTCAATGAATTAATGAATATTCTGTAAGAAATGGATACCAAGTATACACGTGACAGGAAAACTGGAGGATTCTGTGGTGGAGCACTAAATTTTCATTGGGACAGCCAGGACTATGGCTGTCATCTGGGTTCA